AGGACAGTCTAATGTTCAAATATGGCACTTCCACCGTCAGTCATTGTTCAGTGGCTGTTCGGTAAAAACTGTTCCAGAGTTGTGTGGATTTGATGTCTGTTACCTATTTACAAAACAAACACTGACGTACAGTAAACTACCACATTTGTAGTATTCGACCACATGCCCGGTACGACTTCATTCTCAAGCATTTCTTCAACAAAGAAAATCCAACAACTTTGGACACTGAGTCAGACGCACAATGTCTGACAGCCATCAGTCAAGTCTGTCAAGAAGGTTCATTGAGCACCAATAAGGGCCACGGTGCAGACAAGCATGTCTTGTTTTTCATTACTTGTGATTTTTTTTATTTTTTGAATGTCAGATAGACAACTAGGCGAACTAGCTGTCTTCTTAGAAAGACAACTGTGGCGTTTGCTTCGTTCAGAAGAGGTGAGAGTTGTGGCAGGACAAGTCGTGGCTGCTTCACCATGACAACGCCCTGAGCATCCCACAGCTCCTGGCTGAGAAGAACATCTCCGTGCTGGAGCAACCTCCCTACTCACCCCACCTGGCTCCGTGGGGTTGTTTCCTCTTCCCCAAGCTCAAGGAGGTCATCAAGGGGACCTGTTTAGAAGACGTGGACGACATCATGACGACGGAGGTGCAGGGGGATTTACTTCAAAGGGGAAAACTTGTAGTTTGGATTTGAAATCTATATTTTGTGACACCAGTCCTGGAACTTTTCTGACACACCTCGTAGGCCTGTTGTCTGAGAGGAAAAGCTCTGTTGGGACAGTTTGGTATTTTGTTGTGTAGGTCTGTCCAAAAACTCATTGAACTGTTTATCCAAATCATATTTGAAATGAGGGCTGCAAGGTGGAGCAGTTAGCACTGTTGCCTCGCAGTTAGAAGGTTGCCGGTTTGTGTCCCGGTGAGGATCTTTCTGCGTGGAGTCTCCATGTTCTCCCCGTGCAGCGTGGGTTCTCTCCGGGTTCTCCAGCTTCCTCTCGCAAGTCCAAAAACATGCTGAGGTTAATTGGTGATTCTAAATTGTCCGTAGGTGTGAATGTGAGTGTGCTTGGTTGTCTGTCTCTAAGTGTAGCCCTGTGATAGACTGGTGACCTGTCCAGGTGAACCTGCCTTCACCCTGAGTCAGCTGGGATAGACTCCAGCCCCCCATGACCCTAGTGAGGATTAAACGGTGTATAGATAATGGATGGATGTTTGAATTGACTCTCATGAAGTTTGGTGTTCCTCTGTATGGAAGGAACAGTGACTACATCGTTATATTACTGTAGTGCGAGATTATAGTATAGCCTGATGCAATAACACAGAAAGCAGGGAAAGACGTTGCTGTGCTAGATGCAAATTTATCATTTCATTTCTCATTTATTTGGTAGAATCTACAGTTTTCATCCCTGCAACCTTCATTTTTTTGTCTTGGTTTGCGCACAAACAAAAATACATAAGCTGTGCCCTACATCTGGAGGTTTGTGATGTGCTCAGTCTGTCTTGTTTTTGTTTTTTTTTTCCACATCCTTTGCTCTCAGCAAAGCACTTTGTCACAAACTATATTTTTAACTGCATTTTATAAATAAACTTCTGCTGAGTACCGGCAAAAAAAAAAAAATTCACAGAAGATACCAAACGGATTTGTGAAAAGCATCTCATCACGCCTCGTTAAGTCCAAGGCCGCAGACGTTTTTCACACGATTCCACACGATGACTGATCGTCTGACATCCTCTAACCTGTGTTTAACTCACACTTTTGTGTTGCTTTCAGCCTGCCGCTGCACCGCATCGCTTTCAGTCAGCTGTTTACAAGTGGCAGAGTTTAGAGAGGAATCAGTCTTCTAGGTTTCTTGATTTACGATTCTACGCACAAAGCACTGGAACTCCAGGGGGGCTTGTTGATTCTTACCTGAAATAAGCACCACAGGCAGTGGAGGAGGAAGCCAGGAGACAGGAGAGTGTTAATAGAGTAGACAGAGTAGAAGAGATGAATCGAAGACAGAGGAGGTGAGGAGCCGAGGTGATGGAGGACTGGGGAAAGAATGATAGGTAGTAAAAAAAAAAAAAAAGAGTGCAGGGAAGAAGGTGAGGAGAGGACAAGGAAGTACGATCAGAAGAGAGCAGTGAAAGATAAGCGAGAGAAAGCAGGGGATGAAAATCTTGAATCTCAGGAGGAAAGAGGTTTGATGGAGGAAGAGATCAGTCAGCGTGGACATCACAACATGTCAAACTATGATCCACAACATTTCTGTCAAATGTCAAACTACTCATGTGTTGTCGACAAGCGGGTGATGCAGAGAGATGTAATCACATTGGGAGGAGAGGAAAGGCTGCGCAAATTGTCTTTTAAACAGCAATATCAGTAGGAGACAGACAGATGTGAAGGTGAACAGAATAAAAAAAAGAAAAGTGCTTTTACAGTGAGTGGGCAAAGCACTTGGAACACTTTGGCCAGGTAATGCTTAGTGCTCTGTGGGGAGTTTGGATTGAAATCTCTAAATGCAACAGCGTTCTGTTAAACTGCATCTGCAATGATCGTCTCCTCCGACGAGCAAAAGCACAGGATGTTCCCAAACATTCGGCAACAAGAGTCGTTCCCTGTCAGAGTCCAGTTCATTTGAACCCGGCCATTCATGTGGCTGTTGTGACCCTCAGCGTCGTGCTAGCTTTGCGCTCTCCACCTCCATCGTAGCGATAGTTGTACGTCAGCTTGCGAACAGCACAAACTCCTCTTGGTTTTCCAATCAGACCAAAAAGTAAACACAGAATTTAGCTACCGACTTGCCAACTGACCTTCTGCTTGAGATCA